TACCGTTCACACCTTTAGTGGGGGAATTGTTGAAATTCATCTTCCCAGTGGCCCAAGTAAAGGAGCTATTCCACAGTGTATAAATGCATACGTTTATTTCGTGAGAGCGTGTGTGTGTGTGTGTGTGTGTGTGTGTGTGCTTGCCTGCGTGGGCTGTGGCTGACGTGAGTACACGAGCCACCACTTACTCCTGCTTCTACAGCCACTCTGCTCCCTCTTGAATGATCCTTCCCGTGCACTAAATAAAACATATCCCTCTTTCATTTGTTACAGTGAGAACCCACAGCTAATGTTCATATTCACACCCGGACCGACGCAGGTCTTTAAGCTGGGATTGGGACACAGGGAGGACGAGGGGAGGTTGTAACGGAGCGAATTACTACAGTAATTAAACAGTATAACTACCTGTCCTGAGCTGAAAGCGGTCCCAGTTCCTTTCCATTACACTGAACTCCATATATTATAACTGTAATTATAATTGCAAACAAGCCTCGCTGTAATCATTATTTATGACACTGACACTATGTGTAATTGCCAAGCCCCGAACCAATATGTAAGGCCCAGTGAAGTGTTTATCAAAACCGACAGGAGAAATCTCAAGGGCAGCGAGGAGGTGCTGCATCCGCCTATCGTCTGGGCAACATTGTGGCTAACCATACTCAAAGGATTTGAACCTGCGACCTCTCAGTCACCGCTTTGGCCAGATAGCTGCTAACACTACGAGATGCAGAGCACAGCTTTCAGCCTGGCAGGTCGCGGGGTCACCAGCTAAGGGGTTATTCATCTCTGTCTACCCTGTAATTGGAAATGCTGCAAAACCCACGTAGTGAGGGCACGACGATGAATACGACTTAACATTTCTCTCGATTCTGGTCATTTGGTATTGCCACTGATACTTGCCACCAATTAAATGAGGAGTTTGAGCTGCCTCAATTAGGGCCGAGTTATAGACTTCCCAGAGCTAGGTGCAATAGATTCAAACATTTCTTTTTAGTGTGTGCAATAAGACTACTTAATTTGCAACCTTTGTTGTTACCAAAAATACAGCCCCTGTCTTACTGCCCTATTGTCTAGTTGTTTTTTAACTTGCTAAATTTGTTTTCGTTCATATTTACAAATTCATTTTTACTTACTGTTTTCATGGTTATTGTGTGTTCCTCCTTCAAAATCATATTTTACTGATGAATGAGTCTGCTTTTATGTGTGTTTTTGCCATTCTGCAAGCTACGTTTCCCATGCAAGACAATAAAGACTGAACTAAACTGGTTGTAAATTACAGTCCTTGATGTGGATCCTTAACACCTTGGAATCCAATAGAAATACTGTCAGTAGTTGCATGACATGACATGATTCTTTGCACTGTATTCAGAAGTCATGGTACAATAGCTGTGTCACTTCTAAAGTGATTCTACTAAATCATTGGTGGGTGGAATTTGACTATGCAATAACTTCTAGTACATTTCAAAATGTTTCTTTTCTTTAAGAGAAAATCTCAAGACTGTTGTTACTCACCATAACAGGACTTCCTAACCTTGCTACACCCAAAAACATTAACCAATCAAAATGAAAAGTGGTCTCCCAACTCTTCTCCAGTACATCATGCCTTATTCTCCAAACACAGAAATTCAAATTAAGTTTCCTTAAAACACCACACTCACCTATTTGTTTTCCATCCCAGCACCTGTTTCTGCCAGTCCTTGGTCAAAATGCAGCTGTTTTTTTCTTATGGTACTATCTATTCCTCCACTAGTGTGAGGAATAGATTTAGTGGAAGATGTTGGATCCACAGCACCACAGGCCACCACGGAGCAGCAAGAGAAATAGAAAAAGTAAAACCCAAGGGAAAAACATTCAGACCACAGAGCCACTCCAGGCTGGTTAAACCTCAGACCCTTGTCCCTGAGGCTCTTCAGACCAAATCCAGGCCCTCTCACTGCAATACTCGCAGATAAATAAAACCTGCCAAAATGGCAGAGCATTTCTAAGCCAAACATGGAGAACAACAGCACACAGAAACCATGGATTTCAAAGGGAGGTAGAAAAAGCAGAGGCCCCTCCAGAATAGGAGCGCAAGGCATCTGTTGATGCTGGCATCTCCCGTCTCTTCATCTCCAAGCCAAGACTGGTGATCCAGTCGAGTGTGCGTGTTTGTGTATGTGTGCGAGGGGGCAGGGAAGAAGGGTGGCTACGTGCTAACATGTGCAATGTGCATTGACCCCACTTGGCCCCCATATGTTGCTGAAACAAGAAGGATGGTGAGCTACAAAGCAACCCTGCCTGTTTTCACCTGTGTTCCTGCCCTGTACACTTCCTCTTACCAGAACCTCAATCACAGCAGTGCATGTTGTTGGGAAGAACCATCTGTTAGACAGTTGGACATATATGTACAGTATACAATACAGTGTGAAGGTGGGATTTACTGCAATAATTGCTTTAATGGATATCTGTAAGGCAGAAGTTTCTTTCACATCTAAATATATCATTGAAATAATATCCTTTGATAAATAACCTTAAACGTCCTCTGCTGTGACCTAATGTAGCACCATAAGCAGAAGCAATTTCTCTTGTCATCTTCACTTTTCACTGAATCAATGATGGCATTATTCTCATTATCAGATCTTGCAGGTTTCTGTCATAACAGAAATCTTTTGAGCGGAGGGTAAATTGTTTAATTTCGTGTGGAGGTGTGTGTGAACACATTCACAGCCTTAATGTTCCATCAACGGGAAAACAGCAAAGTCTCACAGTGCCTAGTCTCATGGATGAAACAAGTTTTGATAAATTGCAGATGGCTTATTTGCCAGAAAGATGTAGATATTTTACTGTATGTATGAGTGGGAGCTTGGCCATCCACCTTTTTTAAGAGTTATGGTTCTCAGGCATTTTAGGTGCAATAAAAGAGAGAATAACAGAGGAAGGGAAAGGCATGGTGGCATGCCAGGAGCTGGCCATCACACCCATGGAGTGGTTTGTGCATTCACACGCCAAGCCAGTAGGAAACCTTTGAATAGTCTAATTGTGTTTTGCAGCATAGAAAAAGACCCTTTTCAACCTGGTTGGCATGCCATTGTAGAGGTCTGAAACAGATTTTACTATCTGTTTCTGAGGGTATGGAAGATAAAATAGCACTCCCTCTTAATAAATATTTGCTGTGCCTGTGCCTAATGTGAAGTGGCTAAATGAGTGATAATCTCTTTCAAGAGTAAGAAATATCTTCAGATGAATAAAATACTGTACAGTCATTCAGAGGAATTTGTCTTATACATCATTAACCTGGCACTAATAACTCACACAATCTGCTAAACGGTGGTGGTGAAGCATTTAGGCAACCACAAACCACACTGGTCCGACTCTAAGGGGCACAGATTAAAAGGATTATTCCACTGCTGCATGATTTATCAAGCAGCGGACGGTGCCCTTTTAACAGTCATGTTCTTCTTTTATAATGCATGCTTTCTACCTTAAAAGAGACGGATGTGATGTGGACCTACAGCAACTCAGAGCAGCAGATGGGATCCCTCTCCAAGATGAGTCTGATTCACATGTGCTGCAATGTGCACAACTCACATCAATATCCAATCATTCTTCAACTGTGGCTTACATGATCGGTCACACCCTCACATCCCAAAACCCACAGGTTACAAATTCAGAGGGCCGAAAGCTAAAATGAGACTCAGTATGGTTGTAGGGTTGGTTTGTGTGGTGCTCAGCTCATTGTGTTTGTGTGCTGTGTGCGTCCTGCAGGGCTGTCCGTCTGCTCGCTGCCTGGTGTGGAAAAGGGGCTTGCTGTGGCAAGCCAACCATGACCAGCTGGGCTCTCCTGCCCACAAGGAGCTCAGGAGCAGGAGGCTATAGCCCGTCTGCATCTGCAGGTTGTTAACCTCACATCTTATTGCACTGACACATCAATTATTGTTATTAAGGGCCAGAGTAATTTATTTATATACTGATTTCCCACAGGATGAAGGCAGGACTAATTGAGCCAGGTGTGTGTATTTGTGTGTGTGTGTGTGTGTGTAAGTGTGTGTCTGTGTTCATGCTAGATGGGCAGGGGGAAATTAGAGTACATGGTGAGAATGCCGTGTACAACTAATATATGATGGGACATCCCATAGCATGGTTAGGATATTAGAGGATGGCATGATGAAAAATGCAAGAGGAGTTTTAAATATCCCCTGGTCAGCATTCCCTGTGGACAACAACAACAACATAACAACACTGTCTGTTTGTGTTATTCATAATAAAGCAGTGTAAATAGCCACCTGAATCTTCTGGTTGTGCAAGTTATCTCTGGCACTGTGGGGAAGATGTTTTATGCCAGTGCAAGGAGAGGAAATGTAGGCTTGATTACACGGTGCATGTTTGACCCCCTCAGCCCCCGTCCATCCCTCACCATTTATTACTCGCTGTCTCTCTCGACCTTGGGTTTGAAGACCGAGAACAAAACACTGTCTTTCTCTCCGGAGTCTCTCTGCATTGCTTTTACCCGTACTTATGTTACCCCCCCCCCCCGCACTGGTGGTGCGTCATGTGCGTGGGATACCAGGCCATTCATGTCACGTAAAGGAATGTTCACAGACGACTGGGGATGGGAGTCTTATATTTATTTATTTTTATACTTCCATAGTAAACATCTTAACATGCATCACCCGTTGCTCACACTGAACCACGAGGTTGGCTTCGAGATGAACCTGGCGCTGCGCTTACATGCACGCGCTCACGCACGACGACGACGCGCGTGTACGCGCGCACACAAACACACACACACATACACCCCCCATCTCTTTCTACGTTTGTGTATATCTCTGTGTGAGGAAATGGAAAACTGGAGCGCAGTGGCACAGCAGACACGCGTGATTCACAGGCAGGTAGACCCCCCCCCCCTTCTTCATTAGTATTCACCTCCACAAGCGTTGTCAGAAAATGAAAGATATACATGCGTAGAGGCGCAGCGGCACAGAACCGCCAGCGCATCGCTAAAGTAGCTCGTAAGAACTTACCTTTCGACAGCAGAACCAGGATCAAAGCAGCAAACGCGTTCCGCAAGAGGGGGCAGCCCATGATGGAGTTCTGATTGATTTTCTGCTTGTTTTGCAGCCAAATGCCTTGGTATTCCTCCTTTACGGTGCCGTTGCGGGGAATCTGTGTATAAAAAAACCGACCCGGGGAATGAATGTCAACAGCAATAGTCCAACGCTTCTACATGTGACTGGACGAAAACATCAGTCTTGTCCACTTGACTTTTCCTTTTGATGTCGGAGAGAGAAACGGAGAATTCTGTTTGTCTTCTTCTGTGTAGAAGAATCTCTCAACCAGAAAAATATCAGGAGCAGGAAAAAAAACCCAAATATCCCAGACACTTAGTTTGTCTCTCAGAGCCTTGAAGGAAAGATCAGATATTTTAGAAAATTCATGGGAAGAGAGGGTAAAATTTCAACTGTCCACTGACTTGACATAAATATGTTTTTTGTTGTTGTCAGAGAACAGGATGGAGTCTGTGCGTCCCGACCAGTCTCAAGTCGCCACTTCAGCCTTAATTAGCCTGCTCCCGTATGTCTCTGTTGGTATGCAGCGCGTCTCGTCGCTCCGCACTCAGCGCGTCGCAGGGAGCAGCACTGAATGCGAGGCGCACAAGAAAGAGCATGATTGACAGTTCAAGGAGAACCCCTTTCCCAATCACTGGCCCCAAGGAAGGAGGCGGGATATACGATTGCACCGATGTCCCGCGCGGAGAGGCCGGCCGAGGAGCCTCACCGGCCAATCGCAGGCGCGCACTGGGCGGGCAGAGCGCGAGAACGGAGCGCGGCGCGGTGATAATGCAATGTGATTTATAGCCAGTTCGGTGTTGCTGCAGTACTCAGAGAAAACAGTCCACAGGGGGACAGGCGGGCATAATAACTACAGGGACATAGGTGGGGGGTGAGGGGGGGTGAGTGAGGGACAGGTGGAGCCATATGGGCTCCGGTGCGCGGGTTTTTTTTTGTGGAAACAATGGATGTAAACAGAACGTTGTGTTGCTGATGAGCAGATGTTACTCAATTGCTGAAAATGAATATCGTCAAACCAGAGGAGGAGAAGCCTGTAAAGACAATGAGAAAATTGCCCACATGCCCCCATATAAGTTGTGGGTACACTGGGTGGACTGGGTAGAGTATCAGAGCAGATTGTAACAGCACTGCAGTAAAAATCTGACTCAGTCACACATGCTGACTTAATGGCAGGCAGCATAAACCCCATGTAGGAAGACACTATATTTATGCGAAAGTACTAATGAGCCATTTATGAACATGTTAGTCTCTGCTCTGAGCTGCGTTGGGTGCTAAAAGTGTGAGCAGTTGCCTGTATAGTGAAGCCATCATTTTCTTTGAAAGGGCATTCACATGTTGAGCTAATCATCTCGCATGAAAGCTAGATGCCAGAGACAGACACCAGCTACTACACAGGAAGCTGTGAAACTCCCAGAAAACTTGATTGCCAAATTTATGCATACTTCCCAAACATTTGGCAGTCAATTACAGTCATATTGCATCATATGTGGACCTCCTCTCGGTCAGAAACACAACATACAGCTCACGCTGAGCCCATTAGGTCCGTTTTTTTGCAACGTTTACTGTATGCCTCAGATGATTATTTTCATATAATCTGATGTATTGTTCCACATTTGACTAATACACTTGTTTCCTTATTCCCCGAATAACTAATTAATGCTTTATTACTGCTGAGTGCATAAGTAATAAAGCACTGCTTGCTGATTTATGGTATTCACACAAAATTACAATCAATACAGTTGGGAATTATAACTGAATGCATATCTGTCACAGATGAAAGATGGAGAAGGATGAACGGGCAAGCTCAAACAAAACCCCAGGACTGATTAATGAGTCAGCTAATCAAAGACCAGCATTAGCTACTTGCAGTGTGTGATTTGTTTGTAAATACTTATTATTCACTATTAATTCAATTTGACCCAGTGGAGTGAATCAGGAGCCAGTGATGTTTAAAATGTTAACCACGGGCTCATTAGGCTGTTATTTTTTAATGTTGATTTCTGATTTTTAGCTCTATCTGATGAAAAATTAATGATTTATGATTTGTGGATGTTATGACATAGATAGATGGATAGACGGATAGATAGATTTGTTTGATATCAGCTGCAGCAAAGTTGCATATATATACCTAACAGTGAGAACAACAATATAAAGATAATACAAATTGAATAAAGACAATAGCTTTAGTCTTTGGCCCGAGGGAAACCCCAATTCAAGATGGCTTATACACCCTTAACTATATGCTATTGTTTGTTCAAAACAATTAGCACAGTAGCACAGTATGGTAGCTGTTCCTCTAATCAGCATGTCCTTCTCCTCCTCTTCGTTTGGACATAGTATTTTCACTGGAATGCTGCAGGACCACTATTGTACAGCTTTCACATTAGCATAGAAACGTTTCCTCTACGTAATACTAAAAAAACGGATCCAAACAATTCATCGAGTCATACTGTGCAATGCAGTTGCGAAGCTTTATTAATGGTATTCATGATTGCAATCAGTAATTCAGCTGGATTTCTGCGTACACGTGGATATTATTTATAGACCTGTCACAAGTTGCAGTTTGTTTGTACTCTGTTGTTCAAAGTTATTTAATAAAAGTAGGAACACCTGCGAAAATGTTGACATAAATTTGCATTTTGACTCAGATTTTACAAAGCCAATTACCCTCAGACCTCGTCAGCCTTCATCATACTGTATGACATCCTGAGCACAGTGGAAGCGGGCTGAGACAGAAAATATTACTTTATTTTGAAAAGACTGACATGCATCAGCTTAAGGAAATGGTGTTGCATTTTGCATTATGAAACAAAAAAAACTCACTTACCCAAGCAACACTTACTGTTGACACATGCTCATATGTACATAAACATTGTTACTTTGAGTGTCTGTTATATTATTAACAGCAGTTCTTTACTATAGCAGCATATCTGTAGATGCTTTATTTTCTAGAGGAATGGATAAGAGCCATTTGTTTTTTTTATATCTTCTGACTGCTCAGTTTAAAGCCATCTTGGCTGTTAAGTCTGGTGTGATGTTTTCAAATTTTAATCAATATAGCATTCTAATTTTATTTAAAAGCATTGTTGTCTTAGTGTCTGATTTTGCCCCTCAGGGCAACACTGCCAAGAAGAACGTGACCGATCATATTAGTCCTGCATCAATGTGCAGCATTGATATGAGTTTCGAACTGGACTTGAGGGCTCCTGAAGACTTGGATGGCCCGCAGAGACTCACTAAGACAACTTACAGACACTAATAGTGGATCCTCATTTTAGACAAGGGCAAGTAGAGAAAGAGAAAAAAATTAAATGAAGAGAAATTCAAAGATAGTAAGTAAAGGTGAATACACAATAGAAGAAAAGTACATGTTTAAGGTTAGAAATGAGTCTGTATATGCGTGCTCAGTAACTTCAAATGTTGGCTGAAAACAAAGTAATACAAAAGACAAGTGGAGGCAAGTGGCTTTGTACCGGGGTTTTTTTTAAAGAGGATGTAATGTAATGGACTATAAGATGAGTCAGAGAAAACTTCGAGCTTTTTCAGAGCTTCTCCCAGGCCCTCTTACTCACAGAAGAGCAGGAGACTTTTTTCTGGAGTGGTAAGACCTCATCTTATTTGAAGGTAACACTAATTAGAGTAGTCATGTTGGAGCTCTGACCTTTTGTAGATTTTCAGTTTTTACTTTCAGTCTTTAATTTCTTTCTAAGTAAAGGTTCTTATAGCTGCAGCAACCAGTTATTGTAACTAATGTTTCACTTAATAATCCCAATCATTTCTACAAAAATGTTGCACTCTCATTATCTCTGTTTTTCATAACTTCAGTGAGTGACCATTTTCTTGTAGTCGTTCTTGTACTGAGCTAACAGGCTTCACAGCACTGTCATGGTGAAGCTGTAGCAAAATAGAATAGTTACTTAATTCATCTGGCTTCCCAGAGTATGAGGTGAAATCTTAAGAGTCACAGTGATCAGGGTTGTTTGATGTATGATGGGGTCATGATGCATACTAGAGTGTGATTGACTGGCCACAATGCCACTGAGTGCATCATTACTCATCAGTGGGGAGGTACAGAGAGGTTAGTTTGATGGATTGTAACTTAACCGCACTTTGCAGCAAGCTATTTAAATCTCTGCAAGATGCATGGTAGCATATGTTTGTCTGTATAGGAAAACACTCACATGTCCAGTTCGGGGGGTATATTCCTAAGCCTGTGCAGCTATCACCCACAGTCATTCACAGAGTGCCTGGGCTGAAATGACAGTAATTTCACACCCAATTAATAGAGTATAAAGCAGACCCATACTATAATGTCAGATGTTGGCACCTTGACTGTAAGGACAAACACAGAAGGACACCTCACCGAGCTTGTTTGAAGAGCGCGGCAGTTTATGCAAACATGTCTGGCTTGGAGTACGTCTGGCTGGGGGGGAACCTGTCCCTGAAGTGTCTGCTGTAGAGCTACCAGTTGGGCTGAGACGCCCCACCAGCCTGTTTAGTATGGTAATGTATGGAGATGCGGGCACGGGCACTTTTTCCCTCTTTCCCCTTGCTCCGTCTTTAAGCCCCCATATTAATTGGCATGGCAGAGGCGGCAGTTACTTGGTTGTAATCACTGTCCCTTGGAGAACCCCACTGAGAAGGATTGAAGGAGAGAGGGACGGAGGGAGAGCGAGTGAGAGACTTTAGTCTCGAAAGGCTTGTCCTCTGAGTTATGTTATCCCAAGAGGTGCAAGGAAGCAGAAAGACAGGGAGGGAAAAGCGTGAGGGGAAAGAAAGGGAGAAGCTGGAGAGGAAATTGTGATGTGAGCTCCCTTGCTCCTGGAGAAATGGACGACTACAGATGGAAGGAGAGGAGAATTGGATAGGAGATTCATGTAGGGGATTATGGATGGAGATTGATAGTTGGATCGGTGGAAAAAAGGGTAGCGGGATGGGGGTTAGGATGTTTGATCGACATAAAGAAGACGAAAAGGAAAAAGATGGGATTGGTAGGTCTTAAGAAGATGACAGAGGTCAATTTACATAAAGCTCCACTTGTTGTAATATAAATGGTTTTCGTCCTCTGTAAACTTCCCAAACTGAGAGAAAAAGTCAGGGAGGAACAGGCCTCACATTTCTAATTCATGAAAATTGATTTATTAACCATAACCTATTAATTTGGTTCATTTCCACCGCTGATACAGCCCTTGCTGTTAGCGCTTCGCAAGTTGATGTTGTTACATCCACTTTAAGCACACAATTGTTTTCACCGCTGATTGCTGCTGCTGCAACATGCCACGCTTGTAAAGTACCTTGAAATTGAGGAACTGCATCTGAATCTGAAGAGGAGATGGCAAAGAGAGCCTGCCAAGACATGGAGGAAATAGAGAGAAGAAAAGGGAGAGAAGAAAAAGTCAAATATAGAAAAAACTGAAGGTTTCTCCCTTTGAGGGGTCAAAATGTAAATGTTATACTCCATCTTGGTCAAGGCTGCTAATTGCTTCAACCAAAGGATGAGGGTGTGGGTAAGTGTATGTGGGTCTACGCA